CAATTTAATATCTCTGGAGCAGAAATGATCTATTTTGTTTTCCACTGGCAGCAACAAATAGTTCCTTCCTCAAACCATTTTTCTGAGTGTATCTGTCATTTTCTGAGTGTATCTGACACATTTATACAGTTATACAAAATGTACAATGTGTACATTAAACAAATGCTGACACGTATACACTTATACAAAGGCTAAGAAGTTTATTTTGGCTTAAAGTTTCAAAGGGTTCAGTCCATGTTTGGCTAGCTCCAAGAAAGAAACAGCATAGGGTATAGAGGACAAAAGGTGCCTAACCCGTGACATCCAGGAAGCAGACAGGGGAGGGAGAAAAAGGAACATGAATATTCCCTTCCAGGGTGTGTCCCCAGAGACCCACCTTTTTCAACCAGGGGTCCATCTCTCAATGGTACAGGCAACCATAAACTTATCAATGGATGAACCCACTGATAAGGTTAGCACCCCTGCAGCCCAATTACTCTCCAAAAGTCCCACTCCTGAACATGTGACACTTTGGGGGGACCGTAACATCAAGCAAAGTAATATTTGTTTTATCTGTGTTTCCTTTTTATTCACATATATCATTCCATGTGTGTATACACTGTGATACACTGTGTGTATCAGTGACAAGCACGGCACTGTCACGTGCGTGACTCCAATCCCATACGCTCAGCATGAAAGATAACTCTCTCCCACCTTCACATGAAGAGTCTCTTGTCTACTTTCATATTAATTCCCTGGTGCTGAATCTCCCTACATTAATTATATTTCTCTTTGGGTACAATGACAAGAATAGCATGAAATATTGTACCTGTTCATATAAGTAATAAATTATAATTTCTTCCATTTTCTCTTTCACTAAATGACATATTACCTTTCCATAAAGCCAGAATTTCTTCTCAACTATCTAAAATTGCAAACAGTGCAATCTCTCCTCTGAAAGTTTAGAAAACTAGGAAGATTGCTGAATCCTTTGTTTACTATCCATTTCTTTTTTATAAAGAACCCTAATGCACAGGTTGTCGCAAAAGACCCTGACTATGCTTATTCTGTGACAATGTGGAGCTTCCCTTTTAGCCAGTGCTGGACCAAATTGTAGAAATCCAAAAATCCTGTGAAGTCAGTCTGTCAGTGAGTGAGGGTGGGTATGCATCTATGTTACACATCCCTCTATGTCAGAGAGGAATCAATACAGTGCTTCACTTTAAGTATCAGTTTGACTAGACTGAGAAACACCTGGATGGCTGGTAAAATACTGTCTCTGCCCAAGTCTGTGAAGAGGTTCCCAGAGGAGATGGGCATATGAATGTGATAGAACAATAATGAAAATGAACCATCGGTGTGTGGGTGCCGTCCAGTCAGCTACAAGCTGGGATAGAGCAGAAACAAAAGACAAATGTGTCTGTCTGCCTCCTGATCCCAGGGACACTCTTTTTTCTACTCTTCATCAATGTCAGACTCCAAGTCTTGTGGCTTTTGAACTCCAGGACCTACGTGTGCACCCCTCTGGGTTCTCAGGCTTTGGCCTGAGAATTATTCCACCTGCTTGCCTGGTTGCTGAAGCTTTTGGAGTTGAACTGAAGCCTAAAAGCAGCATCCCAGGGTCCCTAGCCTCTGGATGATCTGTCAACGGACTTTCAGCCCCCATGCTCGGATGAGCTAATTCCCCAGTAACTCCCTTTTATGTCTGTCTGGGTACCCTATCGATTTTCTGCCTGGAGAACAGATACCCATAGATTATGGAAACACATGCAACAAAAATAAGAAAAAACATTTAGGGAGAAGAGAATTGAGGGAAATCATATGGATGAAGTAAGTTGTTTTCTTTTTCCTTGCTCATATTTTGAATTTTGTGTCTTACAGAGTTTTAGAAGTTTCTTGCATTCTAGATCTGCTCCCTCCAATATGTTAGCCACTAGTCCCATCTGGCTATTAAGTTAAAATTATTTAAGTTTAAATAGAATTAAAATGCCAGCTCCTCTGTCACGCTGGCCACATATCCAGTGCTCATAGCCACGAGGCAGCGGCTAGCACAGATGTGCTCTTTAATGGTCACAGTCATTCTCATGGCAGTGTCTTTCCGTACACGACTCCTTTGTCACTTGTACCCATTCCAATACCATCTTCCGGGAGATTGTTTTCTGAAAACTTAAATATGATGCTTACACTGAACAAGATGCTTAGTTTTGACATGGTCATGTCCACCATAGTTTAACCTTTAGGGCAGGGATTGAGTTCTCATCTAAGAATTTTCTTCCCTGAGTTCTCACAGACATTTCTCCTCACCTTTTTGTATCTGTTTTGTGGCTTCGCTTTTTATGTTTATGTATTAAATCCAGAAGAACTTTGTGTTTTTATATGATGTGAGGTAAGGATCCAATTCCACACTTGCCGCCTTGTGACACTGTCCTTCAGTGGTTGCTGCTATCACAGCCATTTTTCACCCCCTCAGCTGGTGTGCCACTGCCTCTCTCCATCCCTCCCACCTCTGCGTGGATTCTTTTCAAGGATCTCCGGGAAACTACATCCATCTTCTTTTCTTTTGCTGGAACCAGATTCTTTATTTTCTAATTTTTTGTGGTGTGGCTTCATAGAGGGGAAGTACCCTCCTCACTTGCTCTTCTTTTGACAAATTGTATAGCTCTTCCCGAACTTCTTTCATCTAGATGCATCTTCAGATCCATCCTTTGAATCCCTCAAAATATGTAGAGAAAATAAACCAGAACTTACCAATGAAGCATGGTTCTTTAAATTAAAAAAATAGTGTATATATAAGGCAAGATCTGTAATTTGCTTTTGAACCTGATGATCAACCTGTATATGTTAGTAGTGATTTAAAATCCATTCCATGGAATTTCAGTTAGTCTGGGTAATACTCAGTAAATGCCATTTTCAAAGTGCTGTGCTTTCAGAGGCTACTAATACATGAAGTATGTTGCCATGGTAACAGTTACTTTTAGTTAGTACTTTTTATAGATTAAAGTGTTACACCCTGGAGTCTATTTGTATAGATGCATAAATCTTAAGACAGTATGGCACTTCATTTTTTTTTTTTTTGAGACAGAGTCTCACTATATAGTTTAAGGTGGTCTTGAACTTGCTTATTTAGCTCAGGCTGGCCTCGAACTCCTAGCATTCCTCCTGCCTTGACCTCCCAAGTGCTGAGATTACAAGTGTGCACCACCATACCTGGCTGGTGCTTCATTTAATGCAGATATTTAATGGGAAACAGTCAGATTTAACTGACCAGAAATGGAAAAATTCCAGCATTTATATTTGATATGGACATTCATTGTTATCTTAAATGTAATACTTTCATTAAAATTTATTTATAAAATAAAGTTATCCCTTTTTCCAGCTGAATTTATCAATATTTACATAAGTTATGACAGAAAGGTACATGCTTGTCAAAAGTTTACGTGCATTATTTCGTCTTTTATCCTGGTGCCAAACCCCTGGTTCTTACAGGGTTTCAAAAAATTTGGAGAACACAGTGCCTCCTCATGTCAAGAAAATGTCAGGGAAACCCTGGGTTTGGATGTTGGCTCTGACATTTACTGTGCAGCTTTGAACTTAAGGTTTCTCAGCTTAAGTTGGCAATCATACTTTGTACTGCAGCTGTGAAGATTAAGTACATCTTCAGTAAGCAGCATCTGTGGCATAAAATGACTAGCTAATGGTTTCAAGTCAATGCTTATGACAGAAAGAGAGGGAGGAATATTCTAAGCACAAGAGTACAGAGGAAAGTCAACAGCAAATGATCCTGGTGGATGGGAGGCTCAGAAGGGCAGTGGCCTGGGCAGTCCTTCGAGTGACAGCCACAGTCATGGGGTTGCCAGGGTATGCATCAGTTAGTGGGGAGACAGTGGGTGGGAAACCCTGAGGGCAGGCTGAGGACTCTGGGTCTTTTACACAGAGACACAACCAGGAGTTTTTCAGAAGGAAGAGCCAGCGACTAAAAGGCATGTGGCATTAAGGACTGCCTGTGACCCTGGAGAGAGGAGAGCAGAGCTCCAACCTTGGCGGGGACATGGAGAGGCAGATGAACACGTGAAGTCCAAAGCCACAATTGGGAAGCTTCCTCGTGGGCTGTAGGTACAGAGGAGTGGAAGAGGCCAAAACTACCTCAAAAGCTTTGATCTCTTCTGATAAACAGCTATTTAAAGCAACATCAGTGATAATAGCAACGCGTGGTTTAGATATGTGACATCTGTCTTCTTTTCAGAAAAGTTTTGAAATGTGTTTATGAATAGTATGTCATTTGACAAGAGCTTCGTGAAAGAGAACAGGTAGATGTTACGTCCTTGTTTAAAATAGAAGGATCATTTCTAGGAAAATGAAACTATAATAAAAAGCAAATTAATTTTTAGACTTTATTCTATCTCAAAAAATGTTTAAGTGATTCTCTTCACATGCGTGGTTCAGCATCACGGCCAAGGTCATTTTCATCAGTCAGTGTTCTTTGAGTTGGGAGGAATGAGTTGGAAACTGGAGAAAACCTAGTGGGATCCACTAGCTTCCCAAAGACAGACCTGATAGTGACTTATGGTGCAGGTGTCTGCAGTACAATCAAGAATACATGCCCTGCACGTGGTCAAATGGGGATGCTTCCTAATTCATGTCACAACTTGCCCTCTTTTTGAACTCTCCTATGAATGACACAACTATATGGTCTGGGTACTGTGCCCTTACTTCATGCTCACCACGCACGCATCATCTGGGTTCTAGGTAGTTCCATCTATTTTGGTCCACAATATTCCTACTTTTCCAGTCTCCTGGAATGACAGGCCATTTCTGACACGATTCACAGTGATCCCCACCCCGTGGTATTCCTGGTCTTAGGTACTTCCTGTTCCTGTGTGTATAGGCTGGACCCAATGACTTGATTTCAATGGGGAAAAAAAGACAGCAGTGGTGATGGGGTATCACTTTTGGATTAGGCTATGAAAGACTATGATTTCTGCATTTTCTATAACCTCTGATATGATTTTCTGACAAAGCAGGCCAGATCTACATGTCAAGAAACTGAGGGGGCCTCCAGTCAGCTGCCAGGGAAGAATCAAGATCCTTGCCTGAACACCTCTCACGGATGAGATCGAACTTGGAAGTGGATCCTTCTCCTACTGAACCTTCAATGTGACCACAGCACTGCGTGACACCACCACTGCATTCCTGTAAGAAATCCTGAGCTGCACAGCCCAGCTACAGTATATCCTGATGTCTCACCCACAGAAACGTGAGATAGTATGTTTCCTAAGCCACTGAGTTTGGGTGCAATTTGTTATGCACCAATAGATAAATGAATACACTGTGTCAACACATTGATCCTAGCTGATTACTATAAGCCTCCTAGAAATTCTCCCATCTTTCCAAGGCTCTTAAATGTATGCCTTTCTACAATTCAAGGGAAAGTAATGGGCTGCTTAAGGAGGAAGATATAACTCAGCGTGTGTCTCTGGACATCCTTTCCCATAATGCTTTTCTACTATAATCCTGCTCCAGATTTTTGCTGGAAGAGAACACTTCCCTCATTCTTCTGCCTTAGACTTCCAAAATTGACTGGGGTCTAGACGCATTCTTCTGTATCCCTGACCTAGATTCCTGTTCCAGAGCCTGCTTGGTACATTTCTTAGCTCATCTCATCCGCAGATTCCTTTACTGCAGCTGCACTCAGTGGTTGGTTTACAAGGATCTGGACATCGCATCGCACCCACACAGACCCAAGCACTCTCGCTGGCACTGCAGAATGGTCTGATTCGCTCCCCTAGGTAGGAGGCCAAGCCCTGATTACCAAAGCAGGACCCTTGACTGCTCCTGGGCCTAACCCTAGTTCGTGGCTCCCTAATGGCTCTTCCTGATTTTAGCATTTTCGTCTCCATCACCTCAAGGGGTCGTGAACAGTCCCTCCAAGGTCCGTGCCAAGTTATGAGCTTCACTTCCTGCCTCTGCAGGGGATGTGGGACGGGACTGGCAGACATGCGAGGTCGTTAGGGGAAGACGCAAGGGAACTGGCTCCAAGTAGAGTTGGCAACGGGCACCACCACTCAGTGGCACAGCGGTGACTCATGAAAGCAGTGGGCAGCAGATGTGGCGACTGAGAATCATTTCCTGGGCCATCCTCAGCAATTACGAAGCAGGCTTTGACTGTGGTGCCAGGAAAATAGAGTACAAGTTCCTTTGCCTGGCATCCAATGGCTTCCACCAGTTCATGTCAACCTGCTTACCCAATCTGTTCCTCAACATGAGCCCTCTGCTTCCGCTGTCGTTTTATACAGAATTCTTTACTTCAAAAAATATTTGTTGGGTATATGAACCTCAAAGACATTAAATGGAGCAAGAGAATCTGGATACAAAAACGTAAATACTAGCTGGGCATGGTAGCGATTGCCTGTAATCCCAGCTCGGAGGCTGAAGTGTTAGAATTACAAATTTGAGCCCAGCCTGGGCAACCTGGTGATTTAGCAAGATTCTATCTCAAAATAAAAAACATTTTGTTTGTATTTTGAGACAAGGTCTTGCCATGTAGTCCAGGCTGGCCTTGAGCTCACTATGTAGCCCAGGCTTGTTTTGAATTTACGGCAATCCTCCTGCCTCAGCCTCCGGAACGCTGGGGTTACAGATGTGTACCGCCATGCCTGGCACCCAAAATAAAAAAATTTTTTTCCAAAATAAAAATTTTAAAAAGTGTTAGGGATGAAGCTCAGTGGACGGGCTCTGAGTTCCTTTACCAGTGCCCCCTCTACACACACAGAGTAAATACTGTGTGTTTCATTTAGATGACATTTTAGAACAGGCAAAACTACCTAAGATGAAAACACTCATGATAGGTGGATCTGATTGGTGAGGGGTTATCTGGAAAGAGACATGAAAGAACCTTCTGGAATACTAAAAATGCTCTGTATCCTGTCAGGCTGTGGGTTACAGCTAAATTTTGTTACTCTGCCATTATGGTATTTTGATAAATGTACATTTTACCTCCAGTGAAACTGTAAGAATATTTGATGATTGGATGAGAGACGGAGGAGTGGTTGGAATGATAGAAAAAACAGGAATGGGGGAGACGTGGTCATTGTTGATACTGGGAAATACTCCCAAGGTACTGTTTAGACCACTCCATTTACTTTGTATATGTTTAAAATTTTCCAAAATAAAAAAAAATGTATTGAATATATTCCACAGTAGACCTCATTTCAGTGGTACTGCACAGGGAGGGAAGGCTGCAGGGTATAGAGAGAAGTACATTTAAAATGAAATTTTTACTTACAAATATTAAGTGTATTGAAGTGTGGAGAAGCAGAATAAGTAGAAAGAAATACTGGCCTTTTATTTATTATTCTTATTTAATTTTTTTTTGTCTTTTTGAGATAGCATCTCACTGTGCAGTTCAGGCTGATCTTAAACTCACTTTGCAGCCCAGGCTGGTCTCGAACTTGCAACAATCCTCCTGCCTCAGCCTCCCAAGTGCTGGGATTACAGGTGTGAGCCACCACGCCTGGGAATTTTTAATATCTTAAATTCTCAATGACTGTCCAGTGTCAGCTCCTAGTTTACTGTACATAGATGCATGCTCTCCTGGGTAAGGACCCCCAGCATCTGCCCACAGTGGTGTGTCTGTGCTTAGTTGGAGTATAGATGGTACTGTGGTTAAACGCAGTGACGTATCTTGTTTCTTTCCATCTCTGTTCTTGCATCTAGGCTGATCCCGTGAATGCTTGTTTCTGTGCATTCCTCAAATCCTACCCGAAATCCCCTCAGACTTTCACAGCTCTGTTTCAACTGTGGACCCAAGAAGAGGAAGGCCTTGTACCGTGAGATAAGTCAGCTTCCTGCTTCTGCATCAGGAATGTCGGGTTGGGGGACAACTCGGCAGCATATGCTGTGCTAAGTGACATGGCAGATTCACCTTCTGGAGCAGCCAGATCTGTGGTCAGTATTAGGCAATGGTTCATCAGATTGCCCTGGGCAGCACAGAGGTCAGTGACACCAGGGTCCCTGGGGCAGGGGCCAGGCCTCAGTGCATTACGGGTCCAACATCATTCCAATGTGTAGCCAGGCCAAGCGCCAGTCATTTCTGAGCTTCTTCATTATTTCCCTTCGGAGAATTTTGTCTCCTCGCACTAGCTTGAAAAGAGCTTTCTCTACCCAGGTTTCCACACTGCTGACTGGTATGTAAGCAGGTGAGGCCTTGTACTCTGTGTGTGTGCATGCACATGTGTGTAGTGCGGATTAAACCCAAGCCTTTTGCACTGAGGTACATCTCTACCTCTCTTAATGTTTTTTTATACCGAGTCAGGGTCTCACTAAGGCCCTGTATTGGCTGGGCAGCCTCAGGTCGCAGTGTTCCTGTCTCGGCTTCCCAGAGTGCTGGGCCTCGTACTGTTTTTATTAATTCCCTGGTTTCTTTATCCAGATGTGTGGATGGGCATTCTTGAGGGTAGTTTATACCTGCACTCAAGAAAGATGTGCTCAGAACTTTATTTAGAAAGTAATGGATTATTTCCTAATTATAAATATTTAATAATTATAAATGGAAATAAATATTTCCGAGTCATCATAACTGTAAGTTTAACAGGAAATGGTGTTTTGTTGTTGTTGGTGGTGTTGGTACCAGGAATGGAACTCAGAGTCTCACACTTGCCACACAGCTGCCGTGCCACCGAGCTACCGCTCCAGCCCTAACAGAAACTGTTACAATTTGGATAAAGAAACCGCACAGCCTCATGTATTTGGAATGTGATTGAATTACAAGGTGACATGGCTGTAGGAAGTGTCGTCTGTTCAGCAGAAGCAGGTCACTGGGAAGTGGCCTGGAAGGGTATCATCTCCAGAGCTCCTCCCTCTGTCTCTTTCTCGGCCACATGACATGAGCCGCTGTCCTTTGAGGCGGGTCCTTCTGACATGTGGTTTCTGCTTTGAGCCCGCCAGCCTTGGACTGCAGCTTCTGAACTGTGGGTTAAAACAGACTGCGCCTCCTCTAAGTTGTAGGTGTCAGCTATTTAGTCCCAGCGATGAGGAAAGTGACTAGGACAGGAGTACACTGATTTCTGTTTGTATCTGTGTTTATAAATAAGCCAAGAATTCCTTCTCAAGGTGCTGGACTTCATGATCAATTGTTACTGGGATGTGTTCCTTTATGAAGGAAATGTAAACAGATGTATTGCCCTAAACATAAGTTTTCAGTCATTTAACATCATCTTATCTATACAGTGAGTCCTCCATGATCACCTGTTGAGATCCATGGATTCAACCAAACTTGGACTGAAAATATTCAAAGAAAAATATTGTGAATGCCCTATAGCTTTTTTGATGACTCTTTCCTAATGAATACAATGTAACAACTATTGGCATAGCGTCTACATGGCGTCAGGAATTGTACATCACCTTGAGTGTTCTAAAGTAGACAGGAGGGTGGCTGTAGATTCTATACACGATCTCATTTTATATGACGTTCTGGAACAGCCATGGATTTTGGTATGTATGAAGCTCCTGCAAACATCTCTGATCTGGTGCAGATCACGCAGATACGGGATTGGTTGAAGGGAAACATTGTTCCTATGAAGCTTCTGACAGCTGAGTGACGCCTCAGAGAATCATCAATCTTACCAGTTCATCAAACTGGCTCAGGTGTTACAAACCAGAGTGGCATGGCCTCCCAGTGTATGCGTGGATACTTTTCTTTCTTTTGTGTGTTTTTGTGGAATTTTTTTCAGTGAAAAGTGACAAAAGTTAGCAGTAAAGATTGAAGTTGGTGTCTGATGCTCTCTGGATTGAAATCATTGTGTTTTCCTGGGTGACTGAGCCCAGCACCAGTGTCAGTTAGAGGAGCTGCCGGGAATTGCAGTGCTTGTCCCACACTGATAAAAGTAAAATTCACCCTCTCTACCAAAGACATTCTCTCTGTGCAAGGCTGAGAGTGAAAAATTTAAAAAGCCTAAGCTGTCAACCACATGCATCATGAAAAGTGGCACAGTTCTGAGTTTTGTCAGTGTTATTTTGTCTTTTTTAAAAAATTGTATAGTTGGCTGTGAAAAGTAATAGCTGCATTCCCTTACAGTATCGTTTAGCTTAAAGTTCATTGTAAAAGAAAATGGAGAATAAATATCACTTATCAGAAGCCCACATTTATCTAACCCTAAGAACTTTACCGAAGAGGTTTTATTATGGATCAAAGTTCTCATTCCTTCTCAGCAAGGTGATTCAGCAAATTAAAATTAGGAGAGAAGTAGCTGGTGCTATTGGGAATGACAATAAATGCATTAAGAGTGATGTATTCCTTGTAGGAAAAGATCACTGCCAAAGCCAAGTTTAAACAATGTGGAATTTAATAACTACTGCAGAGTACCATCTAGTGGTGAAATAGCTCCAGCCCTTCCGATTGTAGTTTTAGAGCCTGAAATTTGCAAATTCAGGTATAAGCCTGTTACACTACTCTGACTGTAAACTGTAATTACAGAGGTGAATAAAGAAAGGTATTTTTTATAAATCAAAATTTTCTTAGAAAGATAAAGTAAATTGACATATGAAAGGCAAACGGAGTATGTGCAGCTCCCATGATATAATACTAAATTGTAAAATGTTCATAGGATTTTGATATGTCTCATACAGAGTCACAACAAATTGTATTTCTAAATATTAAACAAGGACTATAGTTCCTTTCTTAGCACAGTAATTATAACAGTTGGATCTACATAGTACCATAGAATTGTGAGTGCTGTTTCTTTTTTTTTTACTCAAAACAATAGAAGTGTGTTTATTTTCAGTAAGCGGGCTCTGAAAAACACTTTTGGCATTGTAAGTGTTGTTTCAAAACGATTATCTTTAATGAGATTTATGAAGACTAGAAAAATAATTTTTTAAAGACAGTTCATCCTATGATAATTTAAGGGTATAGTTGAGGGCAGTATGAGTAATTTGGGCACATTTAGATCAAATTTAGATTAAAATTGCAACATATACATATAATACATATCTGTATTATAAGCACATTTCTAGGCTTACAGCTCTAACTGTAGTTGAAATATAAAATTGTTTTATGAAACTGACGCTGATTTGTTTGGCAAGTATGAACCTAACAATTTAATGTATTAAATGTCATATTGCAACAGGAAAGGATCTGAAGCGTAAATGTCAATGTTCAGGCCTAAATTGTTTTTTAAAGTTCATGTTTCTATTTTATTTTGCATCCTAAATTAACAACTATTTAAAGAAAATCTTCATCTGCATTGTGATGATATGATTTATACTATCTGTGCTATAATTTAAGTAGGAGAGAAATTTTCACAATTCAATCATAATTTCCATAAAGAGAAAATAGGAGAGAGACTCTTAAGGTGTTTTGATAGTTGGTGCTTTTTTAAAGAACTGCAAGATCAAGATCAAAACATTTCTTTAGTTTACTTTCATGCCTAATACTATGAAACTCCATAGTCTGTATGTACGATCTCTTTTGCATGAAGAAAACAGAGGTGCACAAAGAAAATAAGAAACTGTAACTGAAATTTCAATGTCAAATTACCACTTAAACATTTTCCAGGCTAAGGTGAGGGTTAAAATATTTTCCCCAAGTCCATACAGTTTTTAAAACTAGAAAATTAGTTTGGTGCTTGACTTCCTCCACTTAGTAATGAAACTATGAAGAACTTTCCATTCCAGAAAGTACTTGTTGGGAGTAAGTTCTCCATGTACGTGTTTAGAACGATTTTCTCAGTCATTACTATGATGTCGGATTCTTACTTCACTCGCAGAGTTTCTCTGTGAAATAAGCCATGCTCAGGTAAATATCCCAGGAAGAAAACCTTTGGAAATAGCCACATTGATTTATTTCTCTTGAGTAAATTCTCATTTTCAATCTTAATTTCCTTAAAAGGAGAAATATGGAAATGCTATTGTTTAAGTAGCAAATGCAGAACTGGAGAGGGTAGCTCAGCCACATGACACCAACCTGGCAAGCACAAGGTCCTGAGTTTGACTTCTGATTCCAAAAATAAACAAATAGCAAATTCTTCTGAAAAAGAACATCAAAGCAGAGTAGTTTTATTTTTGAAATTGCTCCACTTCTCAGGCCCATTAGTGGTGGGGCAATTTGCAAGGAAATTAGCTAAAAATACATCGTTGTTAAGGAGACTATAATCTGGAAAAAGAAGCAATACGTGGTAGTTAATGTCAGATAAAATTTTCCTACCAAGATTTAAAACTCCTCGAAGACAAGCTTCATTTCTTCTGCTTCCATTTTTTCCTACCCGCAGCCTGGAATGTTTTTGGAACAAGTGACAGAAAGCCAAGCACCAAAACTAGAGCCCAACGGGAGGTTATTTGTTTTGTAACTGATAGCAGGTTCAGCTTCAGGCATGGATTGACCCTGCCACACACCCCAGATCCTTTGGTCTCCATGCTGGCCTTTTGCTTTTGGTCCACTGCCTTTCTGTGGTTCCTTTTCAGGTAGGTTTTCTTCCACCAAGGCAGGAGCAATCCTCTTAGTTTGAGGCAAAACAGTTTCTGTTCATGTCTAGCTGTCATTCAGGGAACTCCTTTGGCTTCACTATCATCCTGGGGATTCCTTTTGACTCCGTTTTGGGTTAAGGTCATTCCACATTTTTTCCCTGTGTCTTGTTTCCTCATTTTGGCCAAGTACCCCATCTCTTCCATTAGCTTCCTGAGCAAAGATGCCTTGGAATAATAATGTGTTTTGACCATTTGTATGACCAAGATGTTTCTCGGCGCCATGCTTAATAGCTTTGCCCGTGTGAGCATGATTCTTTTAGTCTTATCTGATGCTTCTCTCTTTCCTGGGTACATAAAGGACTACGCTTCCAGCCTCTTTGCAGATTGGTGGTCTTCTAATGAAAGTTTGGCCAATGAATTGATGGAAGAAGCATATCACCTCCAGACTAGGGGCTCCCATAGGCTCTCTTCTCCTGCCACAGGAATTCTGGGAGCCAATGTGTCGGAAAGGAACATCTCCAGATGGAGAGAGCATGGCCAGCTGAGTCACAGGATGGAGGAGGATGACCTGCCCCTGTGGCTTTGCATGAGCAAGAGGTACATGTGGTACTCACCTCCTGAGATACAACGGTTTCTTTCTTTTGTCAATTGAAAAAGATTTCAATGAGATACATATTTGTTAGGTGCATGATTCATGTGAAAAATATTTGAAACACTCCCAAGGGACCCAGAGGAACCTCAAACAAATGGAAATCTATGCTTTTAGAAAGAGAGATTCAGGACAGTCTCAGTGGTAGTGCAGAGTGTTAATTATAAAGGTGATGCCATTCCAGACAATTTTCTTTTTTCTGGCAGAACTAAATGATCTCATTCTAAAGTTCAAATGAAAGGAAAATGCTGAAGAACAACACAGTTAAATTCTGTTCTCACATCTGACTCCAGGATAAAGCCTAGTTAATCACTTATTTAAATGCAAAAAGTGATACCATAAAACATTAGAGTAAATAAGGGTAGTTGTTTAGAATCAAATACCCAGGCTCTTCGTGACATAACAAAAACCTATGAGCCATGAAAGAGAGACTGATAGATACACTTACCTAAGGATAAAGGGAAAGATACACATAAAAGCCCTCCGAAAGCCAAGTCGGAAGACAATAAGCTGGGAAAGTATTTGCAACTGAGATCACAGCTAAAGAATAAAAGATAAAAGAGTAATAAGGTCTAAAATGTACAATAGTTACTGTAATAATGAAAGGGAAAGAAAGTGCTCAAAAGGAAAGAACAATTGGGATAGGGGAAAGGAGAAAAGAGAGAAAGGAGAAGACTGTGTATGTAGGTCCACATATATAAATGTTTGCATATATTTATATACAAGGCAGATAACTAGACTACTAACCTCTGTTAGTGCATCAAAAAAGCAATTTGTCTGTCATGCTTTGACCTGTATTGTAATGTTGTTATGTCCTCTTTTATCTCAGTCTCTCTCTTATTCATTAAAAAATTATTTAGTTATTTTTTATGATTTTTTTAATTAAAGGGAAAAATAAAAAAAATTAGCAGGATATATTATAGTAACTTTTTTGATTTCCTATTAACTTGATTTGAAGTCCTGTAATACTCCCACTATCTTGTTTTGACTGATTAGACTCTGTTCCGTTCTGCATGATAGTATCAAGTTTGAGGGTATAGGCAACTACTTTGAAGGCAATAAGATTCACTCAGATGGCCATTCTGGTTTGACTATTATTTTCTTTGGAAGTCCTGTAATGTTTACAAGGTTTAGGTTTTATTGGTCTTGTTCTCTACTGTTTTGTTCAACTTTATAATACCTGATGAGATAGACAATTCTTTTTAAGGAAGCAAGAGGTATTATGGTAACCATTATTGATAACCATATATTCTGTTTTTACATCATGTGCTATGTCTATCCTTGGTTTTGACTGACAGTTTTGTTTTGCCATATTTGACTTTATTCTCTTCCAAAAAAAAGTAATGAGAACTAAGGAGTAATAAAACCCAAAATGTGTAAATTTTGTTATAAAAAAGAGAGGGAAAAAAAGTTCTCTAAAGGATACAACTGCAAGTGTGTTTAAGGGTGTTAAATAGCTGACCATATTAATGTTTTTGGTTGGATCATTGAACGCAACTGTTTGCAGTCTCACTGTTTGAATGTCCACTTTGTATGCTTTGATGCTGCGACTTGAGCAACTACCTCTAAGATGATAATGTGTAATCTATTAACTGGTGATTTCTTAGTGTTTTTTTGTTTTTTGTAGTTCTGTATTACTTGTACCCTTACATCGCTTTGTTTTGTTTTGTTTTTTCTCTTTTTCCTTTTAAATAAAATTTTTTTAAAAAGCAGTTTGTGCTTCATTGTTTGATCATTTTTTATGCCTAGACCTTGAAACCTGAACAACTGTTTCTAAGATAACAATATAAAATATATTAACTAGTGTTAATTTCCTACTATTTTTTGAAATTCCATATCATTTCTCTTTTTTTCTGTTTTGCTTTTTAAAATAAAAAAATTCATTATTATATGGCTTAGTCCATTTGTGCTGCTATAACAGACCCCTAAAAGTGGATAATTTATAATGCATAGAAATGTATTAGCTCATAGTATGGAGGCTGAGAATGCCCAGGATTGAAAGGCTGACCTCTGGCAAGGGAAGTCTTGCATTTTCCCCTGGTGGAAGGCAGAAGGGCAAGAGAGGATGAGCAAGAGCTGCATTTACCCTTTACACGCTTACCAACACTATTCAGGAAGGTAGAGCCTGATTAAAGAACCCATTTTTTAAAAATACTATTGCAATAGCAATTAAATTTCAACATGAATTTTGAAGAAGGTGAATATTCAACTCATAATATTACATAGTGTTCCTAAAATGTGTAAGGAAAAGACCAATAACCTAACAGAAAATGTGCAAAGCATGTAAACAGAGAGAAAAGGAAACACGTATTTTCAAAGACGAAATGATTGTTCAGTCTCATTCATAATAAGTAATTCCACACTGAAACTACAACAGATACCATTTTCACCCATCAGACTGGCAAAGATTCCAAAGTGCGATCAAACTCAGTATTTGAAGATGCAGGGAAATAAGCACAATCATGGATTACCTGTGGAAGTGTAAATTGGTGCCAACCTTTATACAGTACAATTTAACAATATCTACAAAAATTTTGCATGAAACTATCTTTTGAACCAGCAATTTCCCCTTTGGAAATGTTTATCCATGTTTATAGACATGTGAAAGGTATGTGCATAAGTATCTTCATGGCAACACTACCTGTAACAGCAAAGACAAGAGTTAAGCTAAATTTCATTGAACAGGAGATGCCTTAAATCAATAACAGCATAGCAGCAGTGAAATATTCCTTAGCTATAAAGAAAAAATGAAGACGCACTTCACGAGCAGACATGGATCCAAAAAGCAAGCTGTGGAGCCTGAATGCAATGCACTGCTACTGTTTGTGGATCTTTGAGAGAAAATTTTATATAGCATTAAAAAATATCTTGGGAATGAAGTACAAAAATCTAGAAATTGTGGCTATTCATAGGAAGGGAACTAGCTAGGTCACGGGTTGGGAGGAAGAATTTCTACCAGTTATATTTTGAATTCCTTGACTTTTGAACCAAGTGAATAAATTGCCTATTTTTAAAAATAAAAATAATCCAGACATGGTGGTGCATGCCTGTAATTCTGATTATTTGAGAGGCTGAAGCAGAAGGCTCACAAGGTAGAGGCCAACCTGAGCAAGTTCGCTGCAACCTTAACAGGGCTGGTGGGGTGCTGAGTAGGTGCAGAAGAAATGAGACGTGAGAGACCAAGTCTGGTGCACACAGCACCCCTGTCCCCGCCCAGCTCTGCACTGGGAATTGGGCCCAGCAGGTGTCTGCTGGGTGCCTTCCCCTCTGCTCACTGCCGGGCTGCATGGAACACCATTCCAGCTGGGCTGGGCTCTGAAATTAAAAGGTGAATTTAAATCATTCCTGGCCCTTCTGTACAGAGGTGAGGTGGAAGGGAGGGCCAAGGAAAAATGAATAAGAAATGAACAGACTGATCACCACATGTTAATCTTGAAAACAGCCGCCAGTGGGAGGGTATGTGGAAACAGAGGAGGAATCCATTTCACTTTCCCAGTGTATTGGTGGTGGATAAAGGAGTCTCAAAATAAGATTTCTAAAGATTCGTGTCAACCAGAAAACACCTCTGTCCCGAGCATATTCGACACACATTGTTGCTGCTCCTATGACCATGCTCATTTTCCGAGTCAGTTGGTGGTGGTTGGTTTCTTACCCACAACAGAGGCCCTCGTGGAACCACAGGTGGGTTAGAGGCCTACTCTTCTATCCTTAGGCTTAAGAACCAGGCCATCCAGATGGTAGGTCTGTGCCTGGACACGTACCCTGTGGTTGCAATGTGCCAGGTTTGTAACAGGGACTAGAGGCTGGTCCTACAGATGACTGATGGGTAACAAAAACAGGACACAGCCTGACATCTCTACTTTCATTTTTTATCTGTCTCCTCTGGGTCAAACCTCTGTTCAGCTTTAAACATAGGAATGTTAATCACGTACGGTGCATCTCTAACATAAAGTTTATTCGTCCTAAATACACCTAGCCTACTTTATCCCTTTTGAAGATGGAGGGCACCAAGAATAACTAAATTTTCAGGGACATCCTATTGCCAGGTTTTACAACGTCCAGGTCCATAACTGCTGGAGCTGTGCCTAGAAGTTTCCGATCATTGTCCTAAACCTGCAATTATGTCTGATTCCAGGAAAAGCAGACCACCCCGTGACGAGGGCACCCCCATCACCAATCAGGAGCAATATTTCAGTGGTGGGAACCCAGGTTCCCCTTAACAGGAGCCACTGTCTCATGATGAGAACTGCCCCTGAAACAGTGCTGGTTTCCCTAGAATCTCTCAGAACCAGTCTGGCCAGATCACAGCTTGACCCGGATTACCCATGGGGCCAGCTGTGCCAATCCCCAACCCTTGTCATTGTTGTCTTTCTCTATAAAACCTCAAGATACCTGACACACCCTGCACGTGGGTCTTGAAGCACTTTATCTGTCCTCCCAGCACAGCCATGCTGGTTAAAGTTTCCTTCCTGTCCTTCAGTACTATTGTCTCCTTTTTGATGTTGGGGACAAATGGCCAAGCCTGACCCGTTAGAACCCCTGGGCAGTGGCTCTGTAGCAGAAGATGCTCCCCACCAGCAAGTATACTTCAGTTTCTCAGTTGCCCAGGTAATAGTTCTGGTTATAGTTCCCGTTACTTTTGTTTCTTAGAAGCAGCTGGTCACCGTGATGCATATTGTAAGAACCAATCCCCAATTGACAAGCTATTCTGTTTCTGTACTTCCTGCTTGCTTATCCCATATAAGCCCTAGACCATCAGAAATCAGGGCCTGGTATTTTGGGAACGATCCTGATCAGTGCCCATCATCATAAACGAATCTGCCTCCAAATCTTGGGTGTCATTTTGGTGTATCTGCTTGCTGTTGCAGCTTTTGCTCTAAAACTCTGCTAACAGGTCGCTGACAGGATCCTAGAGCAGGTAACTTCATCTCTGAACTAGTTTCCAAACAGGCAACTTTAGCGTAATTTTATACTGCGATGCTGGGGAGATGAGGATTATGCCTGGAGGAACCTTGTGAATTGTGTGGAGCTGTAGGTGCAGTCAGAGAGTCTCAGTACTCCAGGGAATCATCTGGACTGTCCTTTGGTTATAAGAGGGTTGGAAAATTTAGGTATAAAGACCAGCATTTCTTTTCACTTATTCTAGATGGTTCCTTTTTCAATGCATTAGATGTTTATAAGTAGACACACAACATAGGCTTGCCTTCTCCCTGCACGCTACAGTCTTATACAGATGTGACCTGTCCCTGTGTCCCTGTGTCCCTGGATTGCACCTGATTGCCAGCAGGATTGCTACTGCTGGCTTCTTATTGGTGGATCTTACCTCCTGGATACTGTTGCCTTGGTGAATTCTTTGCTGTGTGGGTAGGGACAGAAGCCTCTTCCATTTATTTTCTGCTCTTAAAAATTGATGTACCTTAAAATCAGTTGCACCTTTCCCTCTTCTCCAAGTTTTAATTCCTTCCTTGTGTGTCACCATAAGCCAGTAACATTGTCTTTGCTTTGGCAACTGAATTATCAAAACAAGGAGGAAAAGCAAATGGCTTCGGTATCCCATTTAACTCCATTCTCTCCAGTCTGTTAGGGAAAGGACAGGGAAAAAAAATTACAAAACAGCCTCTGTAACTTCTTTGAAATCTAGTTTCTGAGTGGATCCATGTTGAAGGACTTCTCTTGGCCTGACTTTTGCAATGTGTCATACAGTAGAGATCACATTCCATTGGCCCTGGTCCTCCAGTGTGAGCTGGGAGGGTGGGAGAGCACGGAGCGAGACTTTCAACACGGCAGACAACAAATGTGGTGAACCATTAGAATGTCCATAACCAAAGAAATCAAAGTTGACTTTGATGTTATGGTGAAAAAACCCCACAAAATCACACAAAGCATTCCTGCCTCATTCATTAGTGCACAACACTGATAGATAATTCCCTTGGCATTATCTATATTATTGCTCTTCTCTTGAAACATATTTAAAGGGATGACCACCCAGCATTTAATCATACTATACTGTCATTAGTGTGATAAAATAACTTAATGAGGTTCATTTTTCAGAGGACTTCATTTCAATATGAGTGTTATTATGTCAATTATAATTTTAGATCAAAGTTTCACTGATGCAGAAAATGTACACACTGCAGGTTTTTATAAACAAAACACTGCTTACTTGTACATTATACACATTGTAGGTTAACTCATAGACTTAGGTACTGGAATAATAGGCAAGGCGATTTTAACTACAGTGGACACCCAAAATTTGCAGGGCTTATGTTCCTAGAGCACCTACAAATTGTTAAAAATTGTGAATTTCAGATATGCTCAGAAAAATGCTATAAATGCCTATTTTTAAATTATTTAAATTATTTACATTTTTAAATTAAATTTTAAACCCTAAATATGCTATGTTTCCCACAGTCATGTAACAATAAAATACTGCACTAATAAAGCCTTAGAAGGTGCAAGGTGTTTGGCAGCATCATCTTGGGACCTTAGGGCTTTAAGAAGAACAAAACTGAGAATACCTGAAATAGCTACAGGCATACAGCAACTGTTATAATGCAGGAATGCTGGTGCATCACCAGAGATAGGTTACAGTGCAGTAGCCAATCAACAAAAGGAGAATTGATTAATGCTCTTGGATTGGCTACTTACAAGCCTCCGTTAAAAAAAAAACAAAATAAATAAATAAAGAAAGTTGCAGAGGATATTTGCAGTT